CAAACTAACTCAACAAGGTTACATCATGACATCAATGTAATAAGTTGAAATTACAAAAAAAGTGACCTGAAAAATTCAACAGTCATTTGATTACTTTCAAAGCATCTCAGATCAAATTCACTCAATGTTGCAACTTTAAAGGAGCCCTCCCATCTATGAAACATATATATATATATATATATATATGTATATATATATATATATATATATTCGTTATAGTCCCAGTACATGTAGTTCTCAATCTTTTTTCACTCGATTCGACATCGACTGGCGGGCAAGCGAAGTGTTTAGTTCAATTCCGAAGAAAAAAAGGAGCCAAACATCTGTCGCCCCGTCCATCACCCCGCGACTCCATCTCGTCCCAATATCGCTCTTGGATGGAGAGAGAAGTGTCGTACGCGGGTCACAGCTGCACTGGCTTGTCTTACGTAGCCACGAACGAGGTCGGACGTGACACTTTTTGTGCTGACGACGACACGGCTTTTTCCCCACCGAAGAGCTTTGTGTGTACGCTCCGGGGCTCTTAATAGACCAAATTGGATTTGCTGCTGGCTGCCACCTCCTCCAGCGCTCCCAGAGACTTGCTATGAAGATTTTGAGCGAAGGCTCTTCATGTCTTTCCCCATTTTTTTTTTTTTTTTCATCGACATTAACGAGCTTAGGGTTCACTCGCTGATTGGAGCTTCAATGTGACGATTCTTGGAAATGTCTTTGATTGGGCCACAAGATCTCTCAGTCGTCTCCGGTCTAAGCTGAAACTCGAAAATCTTCCTAATGAACCGGAGATGCGAAAAAATGGGGATTTTGATGGATCCAAGCTCATTACAAACTATCACGTCAGAATAGTCTAGCGATTGCACAACTTGTACAGTCAGACCCTTGTTGATGCATAGGCTACGCTCAATAATGTAGATTATTTTAATAACGCTTTTATTTGGACGATGGCTGGTCCTACCTTACTTGTCTGTCTCTACTGTATTTCTCAAACTCATGCATTATTATTTTTCGCCAAAGACATGGTATACGGTCCTATGCATTTTGCGCGTGATGTACATTTTATATTACTTGTATACAATACAGACAATTGATGAATCGCAGATCAAAACCATAGAAAATTGTCACTCGAACGTTAAAAGGGGAAAAATTAAAAAATCACGCTTTCATCAGTAAACCAAAAAGTGGATTTAAAACTACTTCATCGCAAATACGCTCGATAAACGTAGGGCTCGTTATAAGCAACGAAATTTCTTGGCTACTCCGGCTTTCGTCAAAACCATCCTTCACTTTTCGGATTGATTTATATATAGTCTTCACCAATGAAGAAATATATTGTTTTCTTTTTCTCGCTCTGAAACAACGTTACAGCGGCTTGCTTTCACCTCGCAAAGTCAGCTTCGACCCCGTAATTACTCGACACAACGCTCCAAGAGCTCCTGTACATCCGGGATTTCCCACCCCAGGGCCCAGAGACGTTATTTTCATCGCCGTCGTTACGCAAGTGGCGCTCCAGCTAGCCTTGCAGCGACTCCGCGGCAATTATCGATTCCACGCGAGAGCTGGCTCGGTGCCAAGTGCGCCTCTAACGACCCACCGTGTAGGCATGCACCTACTGCGCCACGAGCCACGGGAGAAGGGGTGAAAGGGGGAAGAAAAAAATGAATCGCGGGATGGAAAGGTCGAATGGCTTATGGTGGGCAAGCTCATTTTGTTTTTGTTTTTTTTTTAATCTGCAGGTGGTGGTGTTTTCGATGTAGCGAAGCAACATGTGGACTTGCTTTTGATGAAGACGTGATGATAAATTCGGGTCACCAGAGCTTTTTGGTGCTCCATATTGCGATAGAGATCTTTAAAGTGTAGAGCTCAAAAAGCAAAAAGGTGGGGTTTTTTGGAAAAACAAAAGGTAGTAAAGTGGGACAAGAAAGTTTGGAAGTAACTTGATCCCTCCGCCCCCGCATGGATGAACCGTTAGGTAAGAGGTAGTGCTTTAGCGATAGAAGCGTCACTGGAGGCTTGGACAGCTGTTTTCGTTAATATTTTACGAAACAAAAATAGGTACGTTTGTTTTGGGGGGTAAATGTAATCTCGTTGAATAATGATGTTGATTTTTTTGAGAAAGTGATGCATGATTGGAGCTAATGGTAGCACTGTTAATAATCTGTTCAATTTCAAATAGAAAAAATTATGTTTAATCTTAAATAGACTACACTCGACTCAAAATAATGTGTGATTCAGCCCTATGAACGTACAACCAATACCCAAGTCTCAACTACTGAACAATTACCTTTTCTAGTAAAACTCGAGGTAACAGTTGAATCACATTCTGACCAATTAGGGCTACTCTGACCTAAGTATTCAGTAGCTACATGCACCCTATTGTATACGCTTCTATCTAGACAAACTTCATATCTATTAAAAGCACTTTTATACGTATAGCAAATCACAATTGTCGGAAACACCTTTTATCACAGAGTAATAAGTGCTCTATAAGTACTATATGTCCCTACGGTGTACTATACTATTACCATACACTAATTTTATGTATTTGTTATTATAATGTAAAGTATTTAAAAAAAGGAACAAAAAAAATGTGTGTCATTGTGACATTGAATCTGCGTCATTTACTAAATTACACAAAATTACTAATTGTGTATGGTGTTTGCATTGTTTACGGTGGTATTGTATGGATGAGGATTTATGGAATTCCTTTTTAATGAGCAAAACGTATGATTTCGATGGACGAACGCAAAAAAGGGGTAAACGATGGTTTTACCGGGTGTAGCGATGAGTTTTAGTTGCCAAATGAAACGATTAGTTGGCGGAAAAATAAATTTCGACGCTCGGAAAATTTATTCGCTCGCCCGACTTAATTACTAACGAACATTTGATCGCCCGCCTGGTCGACCTATTTCGATAAAAAATGGCTCTTCGAACGGAAAAACCATGAAAAATTAATGATTATTGGAAATAACGCCAAAAAGCCGATTAAAAAATTTTTTTTTTTCTTTTTACTCCTACATTTCACGTTTCATCGGCACGAGCTTAGCGTGACTATGAAAGCCATGTAAAAACAAATAATTGATAAAAGTGTGTGTACCTTGAGTATAGCGTCTGAGAATGAAAATAAAAAACAAGATATACCGTACACTGGCTGGTATTGGATTTTTTTTCTGGAAAAATACATGTATCCAAGATAATAAAAAAACATCTGTTTGAGGTGGTGGCTTTTTAAAAATATAAATCATACGCTTTGCTCTGTAGTACCTCTACCTCCCAAAGATTTCATCCCTAAACATTGTATTTGGTGTTTGATTTATCAATTTTTGGGGAAATCCTGTGTCCACCCCTTTTTTTTCTTGAAGAAAGAAAAAAGAAAAAAAGAAAGGCCTAATAGACGTCGTATGTTTCTGGGCCGCGACGACCCGAAGAGCTACGAGCTCACTTAACCCAAATCCCGAGCCTCCCTCCACGTACTGGAGCGAAACAACAACAGCAACCCCATCCCCCGACCCTTAGCGTCATCGTCTATTCAGCATTTATTAAAAGCAGGATGGACGCGCCAGAAGAGGAGGGAGCGAGCGCGACTAGGCGCCGAGACGTCGTGGCGTCTACGTGTACGACCGGAGCAGCATCCGAGACACGGGCACTCGTTATTGATCCCTCCGTCGTTGGCATCGGATGGCTGTTGATGATGGCTTGCTTGTTTGCTCCATTTCCCAGTGACTTACTCACGAACACCCTATCGCACATCCGTCGGCACGTGTGGCCCCTCCTTCCTTTTTTTTTTTTTTTTTTTTTTTTTTTTGTCTCTTGGGAATCTTACGGCGTGATTTTCTGTTAGTTTTGTGACGTGAGCCCGGCAGTTCTCGGTGGGCCGAGGGGACACTGTGGCGACCGCTATTTTGGAGATACAGGGGTAGTTTTTTTTCTGATCTGCCTCTTGGCCCTGAATGGGTTTTTGCCTCCAAGAGTCTGGAAGGATAAAAAAAATCGATTTGGATATTTTTAAGGGGTTGGATGACTTGTTGAATCTACCTTACCAACAGAAGATCTTTCGCAAAATGCAAATGTGGGGACACTGTCTGATAACATTTTTTGGGAGCCTTTTTAGTGGAAACTGAATGAGGTGTCCGTCCAAAAGTGATGTACTATAGTTTCAATTGTAATAAAAATTATTTGAATTATTGTTTAATGATAGGCCTGAAACTTGCTCAAATTTATATTTAAAATCAATAATCAGGTGAAAAAAAGTTATACTTTTAATTATTTAAAAATCCCCCGGACTTAAAACGATAGTTTAAAATGGTTAAGCGTCTGCCCATCGATCTAATAATAATCGACACGCAAAGTTAAGGGATGATTTATTTTTATCGATCGTCTTCAATCTCATACGAAAAAATCTATAAATCCGTCGATAGAATAAAACAGTTACGAAATGAGTGAAAAAAGTATCGCTACACCCCTATTTCCTCATCGTTTAATAGCCAATAAAAAAAAAGGTGAACATTGTATTCATGGTACATATTACGGGATATCATAATAGTAAAACAATATACGTTTGTCATTGACAACTCAAGATGTAAGACGCATTCGCCCACAAAATAAGACGTGTGTATCGCAAATCCTAGAGTAACGAAAAAAAAAGTACAACGAAGGGGTACGGTTCGATGGTGGGGGGGGGGGAGAGGACAAAACGGATTTGCAAAAGAAAGGGAGCCGAAGCTGACAGAAATCGAGCAAAGAGCTCGAGAGATGGAAATTGAAAGTCTTAACATTTTACGATTATCCCCTTTTTCTCGTCCCTCGTTTCTTAAACGTGCCCGGCTCGGCTGTAAGCTCGTCTGTTCTCCCTCCTCCTCGGTCCCATCGATTTACGGCCAATCGCTGGATTTCATGTGAACGACCGAACCGTATTTGCGTCCGTGATAAACAAAATAAAATCCAAACGAGGTAGAAGCAAAACGTGGATGAGTAACGCTCGTGTGTTTTTTTTCCTGTTTCAGGATCTACAAGGCTCTTCCCGCAGTAGGACCAACAGGCAGGCGACATGGCGGCATTCGTGGCGAAGCAGATGGTGGGAAACAAACTAAACGCCGTCAAAGGTAAGGATTGTATATTTCGTATAACCCGATCACCTTTTTTTCCCTCGTGCACCAAGCCTTCTGGGCCCTTTTCGTGTTTGCTGTGATGCGGGCATACGCTGCAGCGAAATGAGCTTTCATCCTGTATATCTGTCCACTTTGGGCTACTCGTGCGATTTACGAGTTCATTTCTCTTGAACGGATACTCTTGATGATTGGTCAAAACGTGAATATTATGTTTGTTTTGCCACACGTAGTGTTGTCTTGTTATTGTTTTAAAATTGCAAAAATATTTCCTGATTTTTCTAGACTGATGACAGATATTTGAAGAAAAAAAACAATATAACGTGCTGCATCCATTCATACACAGCGTTCATTTTCCAAATGATAATTTAACAAATATTCCAGTACCTTTTGCTTTTATTCTGTATCCAAACGTTTCTCTCATTGCTACCGTTACAGCCGTTTGACTAGGACACCCCATCCACCTCTTGTTATCAGTGGTGAACATGCGGGTCAGTAGTAAAAGTATGTGGCTGACCATACGCGGATGTTACTACTTAGTGCTCAGACGGATGATCTAAGAGTGGACGTATGAAGGATTTTACTGTTAATGAAAGTCAATGGATTTATCTGTTGGCTCGAGCAAAAATGAAATACATTTATTTTCTACAGTAGCTTGTAATTTTAATGAACTTAATTTGTATAATTTACTTATGTGGCAACCGGATAACACTACATAAATTTGGACATTTAACTAGCAAGTGGTTTACGAATGATGCCACTTCTCTAAAACAACCTTATTACTGTAAATAATGTCACATATGTCGTTAAGGCAGTTTATCCTCACGTTGTATACAATCGATTCATCATCTAGTATATTAATTATTGAGACAAATTACTATGAGTCGTACTCTTTTCCTGCACGTTTTTATCAATACACTTTACGATTGTTACTCGATAATTCCGAATTTTTCTGTAGAAATAAAAAAAACTTTTAAATTTTGGTGGAAGCTATAAACTATTCAATGTTATAAGAAATAGCTTTGAATTTGTAATAAATTTTAATTAATGAGTGTTCGAGTGTTGACGATTACACGAGAATTAAATATTCAACTTGTTTGTGGTCAAAGTAACACTAGCAAGGTTCTGATAGTACCACTTTAATAAAATTAAATAATCGTTATCAAGGCTTAGTCAACAGAAATTATTTGAAGGTCATTTTCGTGAACATATACCTATTGTGGCGATACATTTTTTTAAAGGCTTTAATTTCATTTTGTCAGTAAAAATTCCAGATAATCAAATTCATATTGAAACGATGCCAAGATGTAATATTGTGAAAAAATTATTATTGCACAGTACAATTTATGATTGTCAATTGAAACTAGAAAAGCTATTGGAATAATGGTTTACAAAAACTTATAACTTTACATGCTAACAATACACTTTCCTCGTTTGGAGTTGAAATTAGATTTATTCCTATTCTATTATGGAGAATCAAATAAGTCCACATACATCCATAGGCTTTATCGATGTGTGCCAACAGAATAATTCAACTACTGTTAAAAATAGTTGTTCAACAAGTATAAAAGTTACTCTTAGCAATGTGGAATTTGATAAAAATTAGTGAAAATATACCCAAAACCAAAAATCATACCCTAATTGTCTTTGCAATCGTTACAACTATTTATACTTGTGTAATCGTATTAATTTTTTTTCTGAAGGATAATTTTTAGTAATAAGTAGTCTGGACTTATAAAATAATACATTGTATTACGTTTTACTGAAAAAATTTGACTCCTCAAATACTTATGATAAAAGTCTTACTCTGTTTAAATATTTGAAAAAATAAAATAATTATGTCCATATTTAGCTTTAATTTTTTTTTGTATAAAACTAACGTCCTGGCATTTTTTAATTCTTTTAAATTTAAAAGTATAATGTAAACTTGAATGGAACATTATTTCAAACGATACATATTTTTGTAATATTAACCAGATTCGGTAAGAAATTACTTTAAAAAAATGTAGCACATTAAAAAAAAATAACAACCCAAGTTTTCAATAAAAAAATTCAATAAAAAATTGATCACTACCCGATGAATACTTAGTAGTTTTCAAGCTGTACCATAAACTGATAAAAAAAATCGATAAATGTACCCAAGTAAGCTTTCGTTTAATCTCTAATCTAGATAGCCCCTTCTTTGCCGAAAAATATAAAATATAATTAAAGCATGTCATTAAAATATGTTACATCACAGGAAGATATGTTTGATTACGTTACATTAACTATTTTCTATTAACATGTCTACATTAACACGTAAAAGATCGGAATAAAAAGTTCTCATAAAATATAGATAGTTAAGATACAATAAACGGATAGCAGTTACTCACATGCTATCTGCGCCCTCTCAGTAGCGATAAAAATAAACGTCTTTTGATGTACGTAAAAGTATCCTGATGTGCCGGAATATTTAGGAGCTTTCCATAGTCCACGTGGCTCTACATACAATGCTTTCCGACCCTTCTTCCCCTCCACGTAATCTTTCATGGCCATAACTTAGCCTTCCCTCCTAAATATCACGCAGTCAATCGAAGTGCTTCCTTAGTAATTTTTGGATGCGTTAATTCAACTAGACGATTTTATCGTGATCATTAGTGACCTTTACTTACATTACGATAAATAATGTATGTCAATAAAATAAAAATTTTTATGTCATCAAGATATAAAGGCTATATATCACATAAAAAAATGTATAGTTTCATATTTTATATAAAAAAAATTTTATTTGATCAAGAACGAAAATTAGTTAGCTGGTTTAGACTGTAAACAATATCATCACAGCTATCGAGGTAAAAGTTTGAGGAAAAGAACTAAATTTTTACTTTTTCCAGTTGTACCAAATAGCAATAAAATCTTCTTAATTCGAATATGAGGTTAACATAAAAAATAAAATTATAATCATGATTACTTAAGTAATTGTGTACCAAGGTTGATTGAAGTTAGGAATAACAATAAAACATTTTCGACATGCTTTGATGAGGCAGTTGTAGTTAAGTTACATAATTGAGGAAAAAGTTATAATACAAAATTAAACAGTCATTTCTACAATCATACAGAAATCAATTTTTTTTTTTGATAAATCAACATGGCTCATTTATTTTTAAAAAAGACGAATTGAAAGTTTGAGAGTTTAAAATTTTTTTTACAACAAATTTCAGAAAAAATGTGAAAAAAATAAGAACTGTAAGGATATTTCTAAAAAAAAATTTTCTTGAAATTTAAAATGTTTCAGAACCCAGTACGTAATAAACTTTTAAGCTCATGTATGCTTTGATACGAAATTAATGCAATGAAACAAATATTTTCCCACATTTTTTATGACTTTAAAATATTTTATTAGCTATTTGTAATATGAATGAGAAATTAATATTGTCACAAACATCAGTCACTTCTAACAAGATAAATATCCCATTCGCCAAAATACCAAATTAAATACAAGAGAATTAATAAAAAGTTAATCAGCCAAGTGAAGCAAATTTCAAAAATATCACAACGCTCATATATGACGTGATCATGCAGGGTTTGACACCGCCAATATGTAGCGTCCGATAACTTGCCTTCGGGTTTTATAAAATAACAATCCCCGAAGCGCATCTCGTGTTTCCACTTTATTACCCAAGCCTCACTACATACATACATGTATAATCTACTCGAGCAAAGTATTATTTCATTCTGCTCATGCTAGGCTTTTTTGGTTTTATTTTCTTGTTTCTCAGCTAACGCAACTTTTATTTTCACAAGGTCCGTTTTATGGCTGTGCACTTCGCTAAAAAGTTGTGCCAGAAAAAATTTTTATTGGACCTCCGTACTCTTGCGCTAAAGAGCGTTAAATTTTTTCGCCCAAAATTTTTATTTTATCCTTGGACAGAGTCGTTTCCTCTGGTGACTCGTAAAAGCTTCTGTATACGGCGCATAAAAAGTCATAAATAAAATATGTTTCGTGAAATAAAAAATACTGAGAGAAACGGCACTAATGTAAAACGCCAATGTGACACTCTGCTGTGTGATTCTATACCTAGTTTAAAATTTAAAAACCATCGAAAAATAAAAAAATCTGGCTCAATTCTATTATTTATACTATTAGTAATCGAATCATAGGTACAACGTTTTGCTTTTTACATTAATTTTCATCTAACGTTATATATTTACTAGTATTTATTGACGTTGGTTTAAAAATTTTTAATAAGATAGACCGGAGCTGTTTTAAGAAATTCATGACCCATGAGTAGGGCTCTTTTCCTGCACGTTTTTATCAATACACTTTACGATTGTTACTCGATAATTCCGAATTTTTCTGTAGAAATAAAAAAAACTTTTAAATTTTGGTGGAAGCTATAAACTATTCAATGTTATAAGAAATAGCTTTGAATTTGTAATAAATTTTAATTAATGAGNCTTATTAATTATCGTATAAATAAACATTTTTTATGAAATTGGTATATGCCTGTTTTATACAAGTGATAAAAAACGGTGTCTTTGAATGCCAAAAGCTGGATTTTTCTGTTACTTCGCACTTTGTTTTAATTTTACTAAGTAGTGCTGGTAACAAATTTTTGGAAGAAATAAAAAAATGTCTTAGAATTCTTATTATATTCTCAATTAACAAAATATCGAGAGCAAAAAAAATTCAAAGACCAACACAGAAGTATAAGGTCAGAATACTCAAACTTTGTCATTTCAAGGATTATTTTACAATGTATAAGAGCATACGTACGAGCGAATGTTTAAAAGAGATTTTTTTAAAGTAAGACGAATCATAAAAATTTTCAATAGCTTTATGGTCCTTCTTACAATGAACAGAAATTTTTTTTTCTCATTTTGTAAGAATAAATCATCAATATTTCAAAATAAACCCTTTAATGCAGAATAAAAAACACAGTCGAATAAAGGGTTATTTAATTAAAAACAAATTTGAGTCTTAAATGATTCTGATCGCAAAATAGTCTTGTAACTCA